GGGGAATGATCACTTCCCTTGACCTACTGGCAACACACCTACCAATGCAGCCCAGTATGCCATTAGTCTTCTTGGCAACAAGGGCACACTGCTGGCTCATATTCAGCTTATTTTCCACTGTAATCCCGAGGCCCTTTACTGCAGAGCTGCTGCCTAGCCACTCAGCGCCCAGCCTGTGCCAGAGCATGGGATTGTTCCATCCAAAGCGCAGGACTTTCCACTTCTTGAACCACATGAGATTTCTTTTGGCCTAATCCTCCAATTTGTGTAGGTCACTATGGCTGCGTTCACTTATGCAGCAGACTACACAGTTGTTACTGCAGTCACGTATGCATATCTCTTGCTAGCTGCAACTCCAGTTCCTGCACAATGGTATGGCTTGTTTCTGCGTTCTCAGTAAGGCATCTTTAAAGTGTAGCCAGCTCTCCTGGACTCCTCCCCACCCAGACTGGCTTCTCAGTCTGAGATTTTGCTTAACGGACTAAATTTAGTCATACACCTCAAGGAGCGAGGTGCTATTCAATACAAGTAAGGATGTTGGAAGTTGGCCCTTGATTATCAGATTATATTTAATGACATGAGTGTTAAGTCAGCTGGAACTGAGTGAAATAACAAAAGCAGTTTTTAAGTCCATAAGATAGTTGCAAACTATAAGACCGAACTAAATAATGAATACTATGTATTCACTGGGTTTTGTTTTGTTTTTTTATTGTTTTTCTTTTTTCCCGTCAATGCTCATTTCTTAAGAAAATTGGCTAAAAAGCGGAAAGAGACACTGAGTAGTACCCGGCAGGAAATGACAGTGATGGTGAATTCAATGGATAAAAGCTACACCGAGCAAGGCACCAACTGTGACGAAGCTTTCTCTTTCATGGACACGCACAACCTAAATGGGAGATGTAAGTTCAAAATGCTTGGGGATGCGGAAATCTCTTTTATTTTTGAACAGAGAAGGAGGGTGTAAATGGTTCTTAAAATACCCATTCAATCATTACCCAATCAATTTTGCGGACAGGTTATTCACTCATGGAAAATCTATGGGATCTGGTCTCTCCCACTGTGCAGCATATTACAGCATGTATTCTAAAAAGCAGAGTGTGTCAGACATCAAGAATAGGCTTCTTTAAAAATAATAAGGATAATTGAGCTTTTTCTGTCTTTCCTTTTCTACCACATGAAGAGCAAAGACATTAGTGCAGCAGGTATGAGTTTGCCTTTTGCTAACTATTTACCGGGTTGAAAGTTTTCTATCCTTCACAATGTCCGCATGTCCTTTCATTTCCCTCCCCCATATTTTTAGGCAAAATTTATTTTTAAAAGTCATAAGTTCATGTGTGTTGCTGTCTCAAAGCTCAGTTTATCAAGAGGTCAATTCTTATTATGTCAAGTTCTAGATAATGTTTTTTATCTTCCAGGCACAAAGAAGGAGTTGAGTGGTATTAGTGTAGATTTTAATTGGTAATTCTCTGTATATATACTTTTTTGGAGCATATCTTGAAATTGAATTTTGAGGTGTAATTTCATATATTAAATATTATTATTGTTTCTGGTATCAATATTATGTAAAATGTTTCTCTTTCACTGCATATTTAAGAACATACCTTTGAAGAGTCCAGTCGTGCAAACACTTTCAACTAGGTTTATGCAATGAGACTTTTCTTGCTAATATCAAGCTCAATGTTTGTAGATTTTAGTTTGCATTTTAGTTTCTTTTATCCTTGCTTATAAATAGAACTGTTTGTGGGCCAGATCTTACTGGCCTTTCTCCTTTGAGCCATCATTACAGTCAATTAGATTACTCACTTGAGTAATGGAATAAAATTTGGCTAGGCATTTATTCTCCAGGATGTTTTTGCTGTGAAGTTACTAGATGTTCACAACAGCAAGAGTATACAGTATGTTTTGGGAAACATAGCAATAAGTACTTGGCACTTAGATATTCAACTTGTATGAATCATTATGGTTCTGTTGAAATCAATAAAACTGTGATGTTTTATACTAGCTGAAATTCTGAACCTTAAACTCAAACTTCCACTGAATGTGCCAGCCACAGGAATCAGGTTGATGGAATAAACAGTTCAGATGGATTTTTATTAAGAACTTATTCCTGTAAAATTCGCAATATTCTCACCTCCCATTATAGTTTATGGCTCAGGTCCTGCCCTGCATTGGGATGGCTTTTCCATTATTCCAGGAGCCCTAACACTAACCGGTTAAGCCAGTAACGAGAAGAGGGAATACTCCGTCCCCAACTGCTAATACAGGGAACATAAAAAGAAGCCTCAACCTCCTTAAGTGCACCCCCTACAGAACATCTATGGTCCTCAAAAAATTAGAAATTTCAGGCTGCTCAGTCTTAGGCTGGGGATGGATGCATGGCTCAGGGTTTGGGAACAAAGTGGAACCTCAAACTTAGCACTGAGAGGATGCATCTACACAAGATGTTTAAAACTAAACTAATTAGCTGTGCAGTAAATGTCATGTGTCTACACGTGCACCTCTGTGAGGCTGGAGTGAACTAATTTACTCCTCAGCAAGATAGTATTTGGAATCAATCAGGTGATAAATAAAAGTACTATCCTGCTGCAGAATAAATTAGTTATAAATGCAAGCATTATCTGAAATTAGTTGTAAATACAAATACTGTCCTGCTGCAGAGTAAAAAAACTCCACAGCAGCACACATATAGATGCTGCCCCAGCTGGCTGGGGCACGAGGGTGCTTCAGTGTAGGGCTGCCTGCTGGCAAAACCCACGTTGAAGCATCTTCATGCCTCAGTGAGCCGCTCCACAGCACATTGAGCTGAGGGGAGCAGGCCTGGGCTGGCAGGCTGATCCCTTGGGCCCCCTTCCAGCCAGTGCTGCTCCAACGCAGCTCAACCTGCTGCAGTCTTGGGCACGCATCAAGACACGTGCCTGGGAGCAATAAACTCCAGAATTTATCCAAGCACATTAATATGCACGTGTAGATGCATCCAGAGAGTATTTAAAATAGAGTATTCCATAGCCATCTAGCATTCTTATTCATCCTTTCGATCGTACCTTTCTTGAATTTTTTCAGGCCTTCAAACTCCCTTTGAAGCTGTTCAGTTATTTAACATTTTCTATCTTATGGTGCTATATGCACCACATCATCCAGTTCCACCTGTCCCATGAGCCTCTGTTTCCAAGAGAAGCTGTGCAAGGTCAGACCACAAAGGGCTGCAGCATGAGCCAACTCTTCTTCCTTCTTCAGGCTTATCAGAGAACACTAATGTAGGAGGATCATTCACATACCACAGCCCTTCCCAGTCTGGCTATGCATCAGGCACATGGGGCAGTTTTACTTGGCAGCAGTATAAGCCAGTCGCGAACCAATTTGTTAGCTGAGCACAATAGAGGTTCTCAACCGGGAATGCTGCCTCATTCAAAGTAGTTGTGGAGGGGTGTCCTGACTGAAAAGTTTGAGAACCACTGATTTAGGGCAACATGTTATGTGAATATATATTATCATATATATGACCAGCTAGAAATACATTTAAACAAATTAGCTATAATGGAATATTTGCCGGTAGTACCTGCAATATTTTAATTCTTAAAGCTACCATAAACAGCAAATAATGTCATCATTACTTCCTTATTCACAATTTAACATTCAATCTTACTCAGATATATTACTAATCCCAGTGCATAAATTGCTTTATCAGACCGAAATGATTTTCAGAGAATCAGTCAATATTAACTAAGGCATTCTAGTAATTACCCAGGAGATGCAGCTTCCATGATGCCAGTGGGAATGCTGCCATTGCTTTCAAAGGGAGCAGAATTGGGGTCATAAATCAAATCAATTGCATATGCTTATATCGCTAGACTTAAACACCCGAGTGTCTCTGCTGTCACTGACTAGCTTTGTTTCTCTTCACAGCTGTATCATCACCATCTTCATTTACAATGAAAACGAACACACTGAGCACAACAGTGCCTAATTCTTACTATCCAGGTAACCGTTTTTTTCCTCTTTGATTCACCCCTTCATATACCACGTTAGAAATTAAAATACATATAATTATTATTCATATTTTATTACACACCCTGCCATAGGAACTTAATACTTTTACCTGTTATTACCAGTTGCTTTCAGTGGCTTTTTGCAGGAAAACTGGGGAACATTTATCAGTCATTTACTGTTCTCTCTCTTTTTACCTTTTCTGCATTGACCGCTTATGATGTATGACAGATCCATTTGTGCCAACTGCAATTTTAGGTGAGAACATTTCCCTTTATCAAAATTTATTGCAGAAGTAATTTAGAAAGTTGTAGTTCTGGGTTATAGAACACAGTGTCTAAGAGACTGGTATCTTATGTTAGGAAGTGGGAGAAGGGTATTCAGCACTGAATATACTGAGAGCAGTCAGTGGACTAGATTCCCACTGTCTTGGAACAAATCAGGTGATAGAACACAGAAAAACAAAACACTGTTTTAACAAGAGGTTTTGTGAGGAAATGTTTATGCATATGATAAGAGTGACACAAAAGAATGTAATTATCCCAGCAATTAAAAGAGGTTCTCAAGACTTTCAGTTTTAACTTTGAACTGACAATGCCATTTTTTTAAAATAACTTTTTCCCTAATTAAACTATGAATGATGTAGAAAGTGAATCAAAATACACTTTTGTCCATCAACCCACTCTTTTTTTACAATACTACATAGATTCTGACATACTTGTCACAGTGACGTTTCAGAGGAAACAGTATTTTGAACAGCAAAATGACAGTATGGCACTTTATAATAAAATGTGGTTTATTATACATCAGATGTCACAAAGAACAAAGTAAAATGGTAGTGTTATGCATTTAAAGTATAAAACATTTCCACCAGGAACTTAGGGAAAGTACAGTTATTTATTCAATACAAAGAAGTGAGTGGAATGGCATTTCTACACTACGATAATAAATCAGCATGAGGTGCTCTTGTATTTGCAGTGCAAAAGTAACAAAATGGTGTTGTGGCTTGTGTGGAGTTAATACCATAGTACTAACCTTAACTCAAATAGAGGTGTTTATAAATAAAGATATAAGAATGCACTCTAGGAAGAGATCTAATTCAAATGTCCTCTAGTGCTGTCCTTACAATGGCTTGTACCTTACAAAGTATATTTGTTCTTCCTCTTCCCTTTTCTGCAAAGCATCATGGATTTGTGCACAATACAGTTCTTCCTACATTGATTTTAAGCTGTAAGCAGAAAAACCAAACAAAAAAACACAAACTAACTTAACAATACCTTAAGGGTAAATTAACTGAAAAGTATAGGAGGCTAAAGCCTAAAAGTGTAATTTCTGCAAAATCCATAAAACAAAGTGGAGAAATAATTAGTAAAAATTATTCTAATATAATATCCAAATAAAAGAACCTGTGCATTTTTGTACTCTGTGTAAATCTGTGAGAATATAGTCACTGTAGTAGTGACCGTAACAATGTAAGAATCTGCATGCAAATGAAATTTACAGAGCCTTTTGACTGCCTGAGATTTTAGATTTCATTGTGTACCTTAGCTGCAGCTCATCCAGTAGGTACCCTTCTGACCTTGTGGGTGGGCAAAGAGAAAAAGCATTGTTATCAGGAGAAAAACTTTGTGATTTGATATCATGATTGTGATAAGCTTAGCTAATGTATTCTCAGATTTTTTTCCAACTACTTGTGGACACGAATAAATGGTAAAAATTACTTGTTAGCTTTTATTGATGAAGAATAATCTTTGACTAAAGAATTATCACACCAGAAGCATGCTGGAGGAAAAAGTCTCCTTTACCAAGACAATAGGGTAGAAGTTCTTGAGTTGGCAGGACATGCAATTGCAATTATAACAATTACAAACTTGTATTTACTCTTCCCAGAACTTCTTCCCATACTGATATTGTAGGGAAAAAAACTTTGTTGCCTTTTATGTTAGAATTGGTATGCTGTTCACACAAAAATGAATTGCCAGACATTGTGTGTGAGAGAGAGAGAGAGAGAGAGAATGTGTGTGTGTGTGTGTGTGTGTACGTACGTACGTACGTGAGGGGTAGGATACAACTGTAAACCAGAGCAGCTTGGCTTAAGGCAGTAGAGCAATCAAGCTAACGGTCTGGCCCAGGCCTTTTAAAAGTAACAGTTAATTTTGCAGTCCAGCTTACAAATGATTTAATGCTTGACTTTTTATGGAACATAATGACTGATCTTTCAGTCCTTACGTGCCCTGTGGGAGGTTTTGGACTGCAGGTCAGGCCTATAGTTGGAACCAATTAAAGTGTTCTACATGACCTACTGGGAGGGCAGAGCCTGTCTGTGATTAGTTGTTTAGTTTTCTTTTTTCAGATCAGTAGCTACTAGAAGGGTCACCATGAATTTATCATTTCCAGCATTTTCTATGGCAAGATCCTTAGAATAGGAACGCAAATTAGGATCTTCCCCACCTGTTGCAAGAAATTACCTGGCAATTAATAGCAGTCTCCTTAAATGAAGCAAAAGGCAACTGTCAAGCTCACTCTCAACTTCCTGGATTCACATGTTTTCATACAATTGTGGGAATCTCACAGTTAACGTAACAACCAAAGTGAAACCCTGTGTGTTTAAATGAGCCCTTTATATCATGGAGTTTTGTGCATCTCAGCTGAGATTCAATATCTATATTGATATACTGGCCTAAAGCAGGCAGGTTTAACAGTACCTGCCTGTTTTTCAGTGTTCTGCACACATTTCAAATTGCAAGGAGAAAGGAAGTAACAAGACAGGAAAAATTACCCAAACCATATAAAATATGACATTGGACTGGGGGCTGTCTACAGGTCCCTTGGTTCAAATTAATGCTAAACAATTATGCCATTTAACAATTCTTGCACAGTACTACTGTACAAAAACAATGGGATTAATAACTGGATAGTTGAATTAAATGAATAATTATAGCAAAGATATTTAAATTAACAGCAATGTGTGCCTACATTAGCTGGAGAGCCTCAACCCTTACAAAAGCAATTGACTGCTAGTGTCTCAGACTCTTTTTCTATAAGCAAAACAAAATGCCATATTAAACTATCCAAGACAGGCATCATAGGGTCTTTTTTTGTAGAAATTTTAAAAAGCTGATTTCCAAACATAGTAGCTGTCCTGAAAGATGAAGCCGAGAGGGGTGGAGGAAGATGCTTGTTCCATTTAGCCTACAATCCAGACAAGCCCACCAGAGTAATGTACTTAGAGGCTTAAGCAGAAGACCCTGCCATGTTATAGGCTTTGCAGGCTGAATAATCCTTAAACATTTCAGAGTTATAAGTTTCATAGTTTGAACAAAAATTACCCTATAACTCAACTGATTAAAATAAAAACAAATCATGCAATCAACTTTCTACACTTTTTTTTGTCTTTTGTGTCTTAGCCGCCTTGTAGTATTCAGGTGCCATTTCAACAGCAACATACTGTAATTACACTTGTATATCGCCTCTCATGCCATGCATCCCAAGGTGCTTTGCAATACAGTTTTGCTGCACATTAGGCAGAAGTAGCCAAATTTAATGAATACAAATGTAAACTTCTCCTTTAGTTTGGATCATGTAACTGAAGTGTCAGAACCATTAGGGAAAATCTATATCTGTGTCAATAAATAACTGTAAATAATTTTAATTTTAGATTTAGGTTTATTAGTCACATCTACTCGCTATCTGCTGAGGACTAGATTAGATATTAGTTGCATAAAAGTAAACTTTAGTGTGACACCAATAACTTGAAGTACTTGATTTCAGTTAAATTAATCTTAATTTATACTGGTATATCTGAAATCAGTATCTAGTCCTTAAGAAGGGTTGTAGCAGTTTTGGAAGATGAGAGAGATCATAGGGACATTCTTTTAAAGACAGAATGGGGATCTCTATGTTATGATAAAATTAACTAAAAATGCGTAAATATTATTGTCACAATCCCCTTTCAGCAAATATTTTTCCAATGTATTAATTTCATTAACCATATTTCATGGTTAGTGTGAAAGAGTATTTTGACCAAATTAAATCACCGCTTCTATTGTTTTAGTTTCAATTAAAACCAAATACTCTTTGGAAAAATGCAAAATCACTGGTTTAGTAAAGAGACTATTTCGTGATGATACTTGATCCTCAGGTGTCAGGGGCTTTTTTCTTCTCAACTGCCAAACAAATTTAAGAAACAAACAAACAAAAAAACATTAAAACAAGAGGAAAATGATACCGTTTCTTTAACCTTGCCCTCTTCCATATAATCAGTGGCTCATCTAGGGAATCAATCTATCAGACCTAAATTGCAAACATAAAATTACCTGTAATTATTAATGTAGTACTGTTGCTTATGCCCTGTTTCCTTTTTCTCCTCCTCTTTTTTTCTCCTGATATGTATCTTCTTAAAAGTGCCAATAAATGGTAAGTTGCCCATTTGCCCCTGAAAGAGATGTGGATGGGGTGGGAGAGCGTGTTTTTCATTCAAATTTAACCAACCCAGTTGGTACTGTTGTGTGTTGGCTTGCATGTCAGTTGGCATATAACATTTCATGCCTAACGCAATGGCCCATAATCTATTGTGAAGTTGTGGGTACTGCAGCATGCTGAATAACCCATTGAGACAGTTTCCTTGAGCAGATGATTCCTTGCATTTGTCGTCTTGTATTTTGTTTTAAAGTGTTGTATCAAATCTACATTTTCATTGCAGTCCTAGCTTAATGACTCATCAAACATTTTGTGCATTTTTTATTTTGCTCACACCAAACATCTGTTCTGAATTCACAGCATAAGATATATAACAGTTCTCTGATCTAAGTCCTATTTCATACCATTGGGACTTGAAGAAGGTTCAAAAAGAGACTTTTATGAAGTTTAGAGTCCAATCCCTTGAGAATTTAAATATTGTTTATAATCAGTTACAGGGTTGTTTTGGGTTTTTTTTAAACAAACAATAATACGGCTTGGGCTGCTCTGCAATGCTTCTATTTTAGAATCGTGGACTTTGCCTCATTCTAGCAATCTTGCAGTCTCCCTGTATAAATTACTACTGGAATTACTCCCTATTAAATTACTTTTTGGCATAGTCCTCTTAGACAGAAGTAGTATTAGTTGTTGGCACTGTTAGAAATCACAAATGTAGAAATCAATGTGTTTTATACTTTTATTCAGTGAGTGGAAGTGTCCTGGTATATTATGTAGTGTTCTCTTCCTAGATGAAACCCACACGATGGTCAGTGATACAAGCAGCTTGGTCCAGTCGCACACCTACAAGAAGCGAGACCCAGTAGATGTGCCATACCAGACAGGACAGCTTCATCCAGCCATCCGTGTGGCTGACTTGTTGCAGCATATCACCCAGATGAAATGTGCGGAGGGCTATGGTTTTAAAGAAGAATATGAAGTAAGCATATCATCTACTGGCTTAATTATTATGCTTTCTGTAGTGTCAACTTTCACCTTGCTGCTACCTACATGCCAAAAGCAGAAAAATACATACTTCACGCAGACAGACACTTAAAGAACACCTCCTTTCAAAAAAGCACTGGCAGCATGTTAAGGCCTGTAAGTCAGAATGAGGGGTAAGATTCAAGAATGCTGTTTTTAAATCTGTGTCTAATTTTAATTAGCCATGGATGTATTGTTTCAGAAACCTGCAGTGACCTGCAACGTTTTTTGTTTTTGTTTTTTAACTGCTGGATAAAGTCGAATTTCTAAGTGTGACATCATACATTGGCCATTGGTAGTTATGTTGTGACATGAAATGATATTTGAAATAAAAGTTCTATGAGCAACACTCCCTGGAATACCTGATTTTACCACGTAGCATGTAAATCTTATATCAGGAGAGTCTGTGAGGTTTTAAACTGGCCTGATCTGCAGTGCATGAACCTTTAGCCACCAGCCTCAGGCAATATTTAATCCTCATTATTTTTCACATGTACCTCTTTTTTTTTCTTTCCTTTATTTGAGTTATATTTCCTTATTTCATGCTACAGTGACCTGTTCCTCCTTGTTATCATCTCCTTAGTCTTAAATGTCATGACTAGCACAGGCTTTTTTAAAAGGCTGCAGGAATACAGCACATCGCCAGGCTCTGGAAGTGCCTGCAATGCTGCCTCAATGCTCTCTGTAAAATGAGTTAGTGGCTGCCTGCAGACGTTAAGAAAACAAAACAAAATGTGCTTTACCGGAAGATGCAGCATGTTACTTCGACCCAGCTCTGCAGCATCTATTTAGATTGGGTGCTGCAGTGGGGCTTTTTGATGCTTTTAGTCAAATCTGATTCAATCAGCTATTAGATAAAAGAACCAAAAAAAGGCTCCACTAAAGCACCCAATGTATACAGATGTTGGGTGAGCCAGTCCAGCTAACACATTGACACTTCTGGGCATGCATTAAGCTTGGCACAGGAGTGCACAGAATTTAAAGTAAATCAATTGTGGGGGGGTTAACATCTGCAAGAAGCGCATTTGTCCAAAACTTATTGAAAAATGCAAAACAAAACAACTTACTTTCCCATTCAAAGTGAAGCATTACAAATACCAGTGTTAAGGTTAACTAGAAAGCAAGGGAACTGTACTACCATGTTTCAAATCATGGGGAATTGACTGAGCAGAGATTATGCAATTTAGACTCCCTCCAAGTCCTTTAGATGCTCTTTTGTTCCATAATTTAACAGTTAGGGCATAGTGTCACAGGATGGGGTCCCTAAAGATGGCCATGATCTCCAAAGGCCCCTTGACTGTGCCAATTTGGCCCAATGGGCACCCTCAGTTCTCGCCCACCACATCTTTGATGGAAATATAAAAATAGGGAGGCTGCCTTTAAGTCCTCCTGGACACGGTTTGATGGGCTCTCTGAACCCCATGCGTTCCCAGACCCCTTGTGGGTCCTGTTTTCATGATGGGTGTTGTGGGGGCACCCTAACCTTATGAGCTATATGCGTGGCCGCAATTGCCCCTTTACCATGCCCCAAGCCTCGCAGATGGCATTGATGTTGTTTGGTCTGGGCCTTGGTATAAATTGGTCCCCTTGTCCTCTCTGGGCTCTCCACAGCCCTGTCTCTGCACCTCAGTGGTGCCAGGGTCAGTGCACCCCAAATGCCGCGCTCTCTCTGGTGCCGGGGTCGGTGCACTGCTGTGGGCCCCCATTGAGGCCTCCTTCCCCAAATAGCCTCACCCAAACCACTGGTCTTATAAAACTACAACCAAAACTTAAGCCCCTGGGCTATAACATAATGCAAACTGTGTAAGGTGTGCTCTACCCCTTTACATACTAGGAGCAGAACTTAGTCAGGCCTCTTGCTGTCACTTACTCTACATGGGCTCCTTCCCCCTTGGCCACCGGCTGAGAACTGCCCTCCCTAGCTCCAGCCTGGGGTTTATATGGGCCCAGGGCCCTGCCCCTTCTGGCCAGGTACAGGTGCAGACTAATTTCCTCATTAGCTGGTTGCCATGGCAACCTGCACCTGGGCTCCTGTGTAGCTCTTTGGGCTCTCTCCAGGCAGCTCCTGCTCTTCTAGGAACAGGGCCCTGCGACACATAGAAATACACCTCATCCTGCATTTTGAGGACAATTTAAAGGACTGAGTCTGAACACCTTGATTTGTGTGAGTCATGCTTATTTATGTGATTAGTCTGATAAAATGACATAGGGGGTGACTAAAGTGACTAAAGCTACTCACGTAATTAAGTTTCAACAGGGTTGAGTTGGAAAGTCTGGTAGCATTAAAAATATTAATTCCGTGGTGGAAATTCCATATAGCTTGGACATTTTATTGTCACAGAAGCGTATGAGGATTCATGTGATAATCTGTATTGGGTGTTCAGGTAGCATGCACTGAATAAAGAACCCGTATGGTCTGGTAATTCCACACACAAGTTTTGAAGTTATGATAAATTTCAAAATATTTTATGACCATTTTAATACACAAATTATGGTCCCACCTGTATAGTTCCAGGCACCCTGGGTAGCGCCCCACACTACAGCACACACTGGAGGGAGCTGCCCAGTGTTCCTTACCACCTACTCCAAGAGCAGATGGGCACAGAGGAGCACAATGATGTAGGGAAACTTTGTCTCTCTCTTCTTACTAACCCAGCTAGAAGAACAGAGCTGATTCAAAGGGAGAAAGTAAGCTACAACCTGCAAAGCTGTTTCACTATCACACCTCCCTGAAGGCAAGGAAAGATTCCCCTTCATGGTAGTTCCTGGTGCATGTGTTGTTGTGTACCACCCCCACAGATTCAATCTAGCCTTTTGTGAATTTGGTACTTTGCATACCAGGTTTAGAAACTTTTAATGTCTGACTAATATATTTGTCTTACAAGCTGTTAGAGCCTTTTCTGAGTGAAAGCATATTTGCCTATGTAATGCACGCTTCTGCAAATAGGGAATGATAATGGATTTTATCATTTTTTTGTCATACAAGTGTGTGTTTACAAGAATCTAAATTCACTGATCTTTTTTGATGACTAGATGACCTCTGGAGGTCTCTTTCAGCCCCACTTTCGTATGTTTCTGAGATTAGACCTTATTGAAGATAGTGCTGTAGGCTCCTTCCTTACCAAGCTACTGATGTTAATTTTTTTTTCCAAAATACAAATTCAATTCATTTACATAAGGAACTAATAATTTGACAGTTTTCATTTCTTAAGCTGATTTACACCAGTATGTTTCCAGTTTTCCTTATATTCCTGCTGTTTCAAAATGACAGAATTGAAACTTTTGTCTTTGGAAAGTGTTTTCCCATAAGCCGTATATAATAATTGTAAATCTAATGGAAACCTAACCATTCATTTATGAAGAGTTCCATAAAACAGTTGGGGAGCAGTGGGCAGGGGAGTGGAACTTGAAACATTGTAGCACTGTTTGGAAAAATTCCATTTCCATATGGAAATAAGTTATGATAAGAATAGACAAAATAAACTATATCTGTGGATTTTTTCCCCCATTGAACTGTTACTCTTGCTGTTCTATATGCAATGAAAAACAGCCAATATGTTCAAGGGCTGCTGAGATTGAGAATCGCTCTTTAATCTGTTTTCAGACTGACACCTTCCTCTGTACCGAGGTTGGTCTAAGCTGTAGAGGGATTTGTTACAGATAAAATATCAAAAATACAACTGTCCAAATGAAAAGGAAGCAATATTTTGGCTGGGGATTTGTTTTGAATGAAGTTTCATAGATGAGTTTTGGCCTAACAAGACAGCAGGATTATATTCTCTCACCAGGGAAACAATTTGATTCCAAAAACATTCTTACAGGACTCACAATAAAAATAAATATTTTGAATTGAATGGAAAATAAAGAAGCACATTACCAGTTAGTAATTTGTCCAGGAGAATAAAAGGATGCAAAGCACTTACTGACAGTCTGTGTTTTGAAATGATACTCAGTAATTAAGGTCACAGTTCAGTAAAATAGTTTAGCATATACACATATGTGTATTATTAATTTCTGGATGAAATCAGAAAAATCATTTCTGACTAAAGGCTCTCTGGTGCCTACTTATTTTGGGTTCAGTCTCGCAAGGTTTTGAGTGCTCCTGAGAGACTCCAAGCCTCCTTAAATCCCAAAAGGCTGGAGGACACTCAGCATTTTGCAGGACAGAATCTCTTAATCCCAATCCTGTGAAGTTCCTGCCACCCACCCAATTGACCACGATCTTGTAGCAGCTTGCAGGATTGGGGTTTTTAGAATTCTTGATAGGGGACAAAAATGCTTCAACAACACAGTCTTGCTAAAGCCAATGGTGAAACTCCCATCTACTTCACTGATGCGGAACCAGGCTCTGAATCTTTAATACTAAGTTTTGTAGCCTCTTATTTTGCAACTACCCATGCCTATACAAAGCTGACACAGAAAATGTCTTTAATAGCACATCTGTAGCAGCTGACATCACACATACATTTTATAAGCTGCAGACTCAAATGTGCACATTGGTTTATGGGTTAGTGGAGTGTAAATAATTATAACAGGTTGTTTAGCTATTTTTCAGCTCAGAAATATTTCCAGATAACCAAATCCACAGCAGATCTTTGACCATCTTCTCAATCCTCCTGCCATACCTTAAAATAAATAAATATAATTAAATTAAAAAGGTATATAGCTTTGTTTGGTCCCAGCAGTATGAGACAGATATAGAATACATGGATCTGGTTTCCTATACGCCTACTCCACCAGTGCTTTTATTAGAGCGGTTTCGCAGTTCTCAAGTGTAAGAGGAATATTATTGACCCTGGAGGAATATCTGATTCTTATTCTGATGCTTGCAGTTTCATCATTTTTACTACTTAGTTCTTCTCCACTTTACAATAACAAATGATGGATAGTGGAAGTGGTGAGAGTGAAAGTGATCTCTGTAGGTTATGCGCGCACACACACACACACACACACACACACACACACACACACACACACACACACACACA